TTTTACGCAAGCCAACGCTCTACCTACTTGAGCTACGAATGTCGCGCTTCGGCATCTGGAACAAAATCTGTCAAAGCAACTTGATAATTAAGTCAGCCTATTAGTCATTCTGGTAGATTCTAGATGATTGCTTAGGAAATTCTGCTTGGGCAGGCAACTTGCTGTCCCGTATATGGTGGATTCCTATGAGCGGCAAAGTTGGGGGGTAATATCGATCCAAGTGTGATTAAACTCACGGTGTGAAGGACATCGTAGCTCAAGTGGGTGAGCGTTGGCTTGCGTAAAAGGCCTCCCTCCTGTGCGGGTTCGAATCCCGCCAAATTCCGCGAGTTTTTCGCAATTGGGTCAACTAAATTAACCAAATCTGCCAAACCAACTTAATAAAAAATAAGCATAGTTTTCCTAAATAGCAATAACCAAAAGCCTTGCATTATGTACTGGTAGACACGCAGAAATCCAATGGAAACGCAACAACTATTTTATGGTGTTTTAAAATGTACCTATACGGGAAGGAAGTCTGTAGATATCGATGAGGACCTGACTGTCTGTAGAAATATATTTTTACAGATTCAGTAGGGGGAGGGACAGAATACATTTTGTCTACCCTATGAAAAAAATGGAAGTGGAAAAGAGGTGAAGGTGATGATCATTATTTCAGCTTGCATTTTTCCTGGAGTTTCGCGTTATGCACATTTGTCGACAAATGTACATCAGGCGTGACACTAGGGAATTCAATTACGTCGAAATCTATTAGAAAAAATAAAAACCCATTGCTAATATTAATTTGCACACCACCGTACAGTTTGTCTTCAGCGGTCCTCATATTGACCTTAGATACAGGCAAAGGTGTATTTGGCCGATGTCGCTGGCTGGACTTTCAGTATTTCCCCGAATTTAAGGAGAGCTGTAGACAGTGTGAATCGCAGATAGAACAATTGAATCTACCGCCTACCGCTTATGACTATGGTCGAAAATTAAGGGGAAGTTAGTTCTCGTATCCTAATCGCATATCCTTAGGCCTTTAAGTTAAAAAAAACCGCAAATCCGACAGCATGACACCGAAACAAGCGCAGACTAGCTAGCGCGAGTTTAATATTTGCGTTTTAAGTAAGCCGGGTGCATAGCTATAGGATCTTGCGTGGTCGATGCTATATTGGGAAGGCAGATCACATCATCAGAAGTAGCACAAGTTAAATGCTTAGCCATGACAAAATATAAAAAGCTAATTCTACAAAGACAAAATGTTAATTTGACAGAGCCATGCTTAATTTGACATAAAAAGCAACTAGTTGTGCAAACAAAAGAAATTATTTGATCTACCTTCGATTCTGATAAGTCAACCGGATAAAGTTGCCGCTTGGACTGTCCATTATCAACTGAATGTATCGAACCATCGCTCATACAATTGCGGTCTTGATTCCCCTTAGTGGCACGAGAAGACCTAAATCTGGCTGCTGGGTCCTCTTGGATGTTCGAAAAGATCTGTTCAAATGTGTTGGCTATGGACTGAACCCTATTCCCTCGATTCCTTGTCGGTGAAAAGAGCATACCCGGTGGTTTGAAAACCAAATCATCGGCTGGAGGCACATTCTCATTAGATATCACAAAGTGTGACCGAGTATCACAAAAAGACTTTGAATAGTGAAGTTTTGTAGTGTCTTTAACGTTGGCTGAGAAGTCCGTTGGCGAGTTATCTGATGTTTCGAAACCGCTTTCGGCTAGCGAGTTCTCCTCTTGTATCGATCGCAAATGCGTTGTCTTCACTGTAAAGGGCTCCATTTTTGATGGTATTGTATCAAAACTTGGTGTTGCGTGTAGACTTTCATCAGTTTTATTTACGATCACCTCGGATGGAACGCGCTCTGGTGCAAGAAATGCATTGCCAGACTGAATGTCAACTTTCTTAAATCTATTTTTCTTTTGAGCGATTAAGTAGTTCAAGTTTTTCGTGAACTCTGCTTCAATATCTAGGAATTCTGGATTGGTTTCCCAGTACATCATTAGGGTTCGTGCGGTGACTCTATGGGGTCTTAGGGGACAGTATATTCGACCTAGAGGGTGTCGGTGGTGTTTTAGGTCGTTAGAAAAAACGTGCCCACCATAGATTATAATATCGGGATTTCTGGACTAAAAACTGGACCCACCAAGTCATAAGTAGCATAACACCATTTTTTAAAGTTAATTTTATGTTGCTTGTTTGGATTCACAGAAGAATTATATAAATAAAGGTTTCGAGGGGTGATACTAAGCACGAACGCCTAAAAATTATTTTCACCAATACTTGTAAGGGTTAAAGAAAACTGGGGACAAATAAGACAATGACAGCCAACTAGAGACAAAATAATATTTTCTTAGAACAAATAATAGGCAGAAGGGGATTTAAACCCGGATTGACCCTTTTTCTCGTTTTAACTCCCCAAATTCCTTTTTTCG